AAATGACAAATAAATAATACAAGACAAATATTTGTTTCAAGAGCAGCAGATTTTGCTCAAGTTCTCAACCCTTACATCTACTAGATAGCAATTTGTTTTGGCTTACCTAACCACATGTCACTTAATCGAATATTAATTAACATTTTTGTAATTCGTCCTCTCATTTCTAACGCTGCTTTATTCGTGAATGTTACGGCTAATATTTCATCTGGTTTAACAGAATGTTCGCGAATCAAATAGGCAATACGTGTCGTTAATACACGTGTCTATAAGAACGAGAAAATCTGTTATACAGGAAACAGAGTAAGAAGCTAACTTACCTTACCGCTACCCGCTCCACTTAAAACCAATGTTGATTGATTATTATCACATGTGACTGCTTGTAATTGTTGAGGATTTAAATTTTTCAATATTGGATCGTCGTCATTCTGTAAAGTTGTAGTTGAATTGAATGTGGCTGATACCGATGATGGTGAGGAAAGAGTTGTTTCTGATTGTGTTGTTATTAAAGTTTGAGGAGACCTGATACTAGTAGTCAATTTTATTCGAGACCTCTTTATTTTCGATAAAAATGACATTTTTGATAAATCTAAAACGAGAAAATAAGAAGAAAATGAGCTTTTGCCTACTTGATAGAAGAAGAATAAGAAATTTCTGTCTATTTAATGAACTGTTCTAGAACAACTGGTGAATGAAAACGGTGAATGAAGCTACCACTATGATACATAGGCGTTTATCAAAAAATATTCTTCCTCAATATCTACTTGCCGAAGCAAGGTTCATAAAACTCGTATAGTTAAAGAAAAAAGACTACTTTGCCATTGTATTTGAATTCGCTAACAGTGCTTTTGTGCAGAAAGCAAAGAATAGCTGTGCAAAGTTTTCTAAATAAACCACGCATAGTCCGAAGTTTAAAGGTATATATTATCACATAAAAGAAATACCATATATACAATAAAAAACGTTATTTGATATAAAAGATAAAACTTTCCAAATTGGTACACGACGTGAAAGATGTTTTAAGGATTCGAGCATGAAAAATGAAAATATTGAAATATACAGTGCACACTTAGTCAAGAATTCAGAAAAAAAAGCACAGAACTTTCTTTACTAACTCTTACTGGAATTATTCATAATTATCTCCATAGTTTTACTGCATTACGCTGGCTGTGTAAATAGGGTGATATAGAGTGGTCGAATCTTATCTATGGTATTGTCTTTCGTTAGAAATTCAAATTGGTGCTTGCATTTTTTCTAATATCCTATGTGTAACCATCAGCAATTATAAAAAACTCTCATTGAAGACGAGATTCTTCATTTTTAGGAATCCCTCGAGCATCATTCGAGGTTGTTGACGAGAGTCTGCCTATTTGGGCTTGGGTATTTATGTTATGGAAAAAAAGCTTTTTTCTGAGAACTATCTTTCAGCAAAAAACAAAAACTTCCCTTCTTGTATTTGTTTATCAGATCGATCCAATAGGAATGCGAACGAGATCGTGAATATGAGAAAGTTATCGGGCAAAATTCATCAAAAAAAATTTCTCATTGAGCCTTCGGCTAATTGCTCCTTTAGTTTCAACAGAGTCTCCGGATCTACAGTGCAGTCAGTCACTTTATTATCATTAAGCTGAAACGAAAAACCTGTATCACAGAGGCTTACAACTTATATATTTCAAAAAAGACCCTGTCATATTCGTAGTGCAACTATTCCTATTTGTTTATTTTTCTCTCTTTTCCCAAAGTTTGGATCTAGAGGCAGTTTTCAACGTTCATTTGTGAACGAGGTCGTTCTCACGATATACCGTTGCAAGTTTTTCTGATATTTGTTGATCTTTCTTGTTGAAGTTGCTCGTGATACTGATTTCCAGGAAACCGAATAAAAACATCATTCCGGTGAAAATGATTATAATAATTGTCAGTTGCCAACTATAAATAAATCCAATAGTTGTTCCTGTTCCCAAATTAGTAAATGTTTCAGCAATTGTCCCCATACGTACACCGGCAACCTAAACACTTGTGAAATACAATAAATAGTGATTACTGAGCATCGTTCGTACAACCTAATGAAGTTTGTACCCCTTCTCACCTTTTGGTTAACCCCTCCCTTCCTCCGCCGTAATAGAAGACCACCTGGTCTTCTATTTTGTCTGACAAGTCGAGTTCTAAAGGGTGGTATTTTATTGCGGTCAAATTTTGTCGCTTACTAGTAATCCATCGGTGACCCCACGTACTTGAAGTCCACCCTCTATTAGAAGAACATTTTGGTGAAATGTTCTTGAAATTGTCCTATAGGTAGGTATATAGAACAATTGTGTATAGGGCATTTTCCGACTTTTTTTGGCGGACATAATAGAAGACCATGGTCTTCTATTTGGCTTTCAAGTCATATAATCGGCAGTGGTCTACTAATACGGAATGGTCTTCTATTATTGGGGG